TAATTAAAACAGTGCACGTTTTGACTTTAATTGATTGACGTGACTGGTCACTAATTTATTCGCTGTCGCTCTCTTCATCTATTCATGGGTCTGTTTATTTGATCTATTTCGTTTTGTCCCATCTGTGACTTTTTTATTGTTAGAATGCAGAAATGCTGGGGGTCTTTTTCAGGCAGTAACAGTTTAGACTCACGCCCTCAAATTTGAATCCAGTCTGGGTGATATTTTTGAATATTTACCTAAAGCATGCTGACTTTATTCCATTTCTGGACGGGACTGGTTCATGGTATAACCAACCTGCCCTTATATCTCGTAGTCTTTCTCTTCTGATTAATAGCAAAAATAATATTTGTGCTTCCTGGTAGAACATGAGTGAATCCCTCAGCTGCTCATTAAAGTTGTGCCTCACGCCCTGCTGCCAATGGTGAATATATGCCATCACGATGGAAAGAGTACTTCCAAGAACTCCTGAGGGCGATTCAGGTAACTGCAACGCGTCGACGCGCTCGGCAGAGTCTGACCTTGCCTCGGCTACACACCGAATGGAGGGACATTGTGTCGAATGTCCCGATTCTGCTTCTTCCATTCGTTTAGAAGCTGACAGGCTGCAGGCCGGTGTTATGCAGTTTCTGATATCTGTGTGATTGTAAACATTTTTTTTTAAAAACCTGGAGTTCGAAACGAGCCATAATTGCAGGATGATGGATTTACTCCAGGAAGTGTTTCGTCATTTTTCTTCTGCAGCCAAAGCGCGTTGTTCAAACTGCAGTCGGAAGGCCTATGATTGAAGACACGGTGCGTTGAACGGACGCCCGATGAAATCTGCTGTTGTGGCAGTCGTTAAGCGGTGCTCCAAAGCAATGAAGGCATTTTTACACTTCAGTTTTATCTCAAAGGAGTCAGTAATTGCATCGACCTCAACAACGGCAATGCACACAACAATGTAGAATAATAAAATGAGTCGAACGCAGAAAATAATTGAAAAATAAATCAAAATCATGAAAGCCGCTGTACTGATTGCTATAGAAACATCGATGACAACTAAGCTGTGGTTATGACTTCGCCGATTTGCCGAGTGTCTAAGAGTATCAGTGAAAAGTGACAAAAAAACTTGATAGAGAATCAGTGTGCAAATGAATTGATTGTTTGAGGAAGTTTTCTCCTGCCACTTCACAATTCCATCCACGTAATCACTGTCAGTCTTTTTCGTGCCACTGCTGGATGAAAGCTTCTCCTTGACTTTGCCTAAAATTACTGTCAGGTGCTATGCTGATCGATCTTCGAGACACTTCTTCTCATCCTACCATCGACCCAGACGTCTTTTTTAAGGGCCAATGGTGAGCACTTGAAATATGACTGTATTTTCGTGATGCTTTACAGTAGCCCGCCGTTGCGTTACTGTAGATCAGCAATGATCTCTCTGCATGCTCCTCGATTACCTGGTTCCTCAAAGCATCGAACACAGATTTCTTGTAGATCTAGTTGAAAACTCACTGAATGCGTACTCCCATCGTCTGAAATATTTCTTCTCCTTCAGACAGTCTGAAAGCAAGTCCTCTAATGGAATGACTGGTACTTGACCTCTAGATTCCATGAGCTTTACAATAATCCTTTCTTTCACCAATATCAGTTCCTTTTTTCGCTTGTTTTATTGCATGCTGCACTTCTTTCGACATGATATCTGGAATTGAGTTAGCTTCACGTGTATCTTCAGGTTTCTCCTCTAGTCATCAATGGTGTTTCCGTTTACTTTTTGAACAGCTCTCTGTAGAAATCTTTTCGGTTC